ATCCTTCTTTCATGCACATTTCATTGAATACAACAGACAAGGTACTTCTATTTAGTTTTTTATACAATTTCTCATGCGATTTAATGATTTTTTTCTTTTCAGATGATAGATTATATAAAAACTGTCCGAATGTTCTTTTTATCCGAGCGCTTTCGGCTATACATTTAGCCATTTTCAAGGATTAAATATTTTAACTGTTAAATAAGACATAGTTTGTTGCATGTATGTTTATAAAATGTTTTCATTTTTCAAAACACGGTCAAAATATTGTGTCCATGTTCATAGTTGATAATATTAAGTGTTAGTTTTTTTGTTTTTATTAATAAGGCTTCCATTATTTTTAACCTATTTTTTTTTAAATTTCTTTGCATGTAGATGATGCTATTATATCTGTGTTGACAACAAGTATGTTATGAATAGTGTCCGGTAGGTCTCCATGAATATTTAAATGAGATCTAATTGAGCTATGGTCAGAAAGGTGTAGAGTGAATCTGCGTGTCAAATATGTTGTAGTGTGGCCTATATAATTATTTACGAATATTGATTAATCAGGAATACAATTCCTTAATGTGCATTTAAATTCGTAAATCATATTTGCCCTATTTAATTTTGTTCTAAGAGGTGATATATATATATATATATTATATCGAGGTTCGCCCTTTACAAGGGCCACTTGAAGTAGAGGGTTACATTTAGGGACTATTTGTGTGTATAGGAATGGAAGATAACGGTTAACTCGAGCCTTGAACATGTTAAAATTGTAGTGATCAGGAAAACCTCCTGTTGGTAGTCGATGTTGGCAATGGTTCACGGGAAAAAGCTGCTCGAGTGGAACTTATTTCTAATCAATGGAATACGGAGGGAATGTCGGTGGTTTGCTACTATGCAAAAAGTATGGGAAATATATGAATCTTCTTCTTACCTTGGGAAAGCTATAAATCCTCTTCTTTTCCTCTTAGGTATGGATAAATAGCAAAACAGACTAAGTTCTGTAACATCGGGTGGCAACCGGTCTAGGAGCCCCTGTATATGAGTATATATTTAAAAACTCTGAATTCAAAACTGGCCTGGAGCAGGTTGGGCTCCATCAGGCAATCTTGCCCAAGAAAAACCACTTCTATTGCGGCTGCAGTACACATGGTGTCCCTGCGGGATAAAAAAAAGATATCAAACGGAATACTAGAAAATACCAATAAAAAATTCATCAAATTTTCCTAGTCTCTCATATTCAACGAAACATGTAGAATTATTTTTCCCGTAAATAAACGGACTACTTTCCTATCGTAACAGTGCGGTACAAATATCAGTATTTAAATTTTACAATGTTCATTTTTCAATCTGCGCCTGACGATTGCATAAAGTTCAGATGGTGAGAAACAAAATCACTATTATCAGTATCAATTTTAGCTCTATTATTTTACAACGAATACTGTTTAATTACCATCAGCACTCAATGTGCAGTACTTCTCTCTCTCTCTCTCTTATATATATATATATATATATATATATATATATATATATATATATATCCAGGAAATGTCTCCGACATTTTGAATAAATACATAAACTCAGATGTGACATTAAAAATAGATTCTCTCAAAACAAATCTGACTCCTTACCATAAAATTTTCCTATATATATATATATATATATATATATATATATATATATATATATATATATATATATATATATATGATAGATAAACTTATAGTTTATATCATAAAGAAACAAATTATACAAAATAAAATAGCCAAGTTAATGTGATTAATGGCATAATTAATGCTTATGTATGTGTCCTGAAGATGACAATTTGAAATTGTCGAAAGTACTTGTCATGTGTCTTCAATCTGACAACAACTCGAATATATGAATCATATTCTTCCAGGAATTGATAGTAAGTTAATGTCTCATTAAGTCCTGCTAGCGAAGCGATTTCGCCATTAATCACATTAACATTGCTATTTAATTCTTTGTATGAATTTTTTCTTGATGATATATGGTTTTAAGGCACTTTCGAACGGGGTCACACACTGGGAACACCACCCCATGTCGATAACATCAAGAAGACATCTTCCTAATAAATCTTATACAGACAAACTTCTCATCAACGGCAGGGGTTAATCTGTAGATGGGAAGGGATTATTTTTGAGTTCTAAAACCACTCGAGTAACTGCCCGTAGTTCTGATCATAATGTAAATACTATAAACAAGTAAATATGGCATAAATAAATATCTACTTAATATAGATATATTAGTCAAAATGACAAAAATAATAGATTTCTCACAGCTACCTTCTCACGCACGCGCTAATGTATCGTATTTTCCGTCTTTGTTTACAATGGAAAGAGCTGCCACCGCCGCCAAGCGGTCACTTTGAGAACTAATACGACTCGTTCCGGTAAGCCCACAAATTTTGAAATACATCGATGACGATTTTGAAGTTTTTTTTTCCTGCAGATATTTTTTATTTTACCTGTAGATTTTGTCCGTTGCATCATCCGACCCTTGTTTTGCTGTAATAGCTTCCTGTAGCTTAATGTTAAAAGCACGCTTAGCCTCTATCTGGTTTCTCAGAGTAACAAAAATGAATCCGTTTCCTGTCGGGAGGCACATTCTCTTTAAAAAGAATTTCGATCTCTCGGCCGATCGACATTAATTCCACTGTTTAAAATAACAGAAGGTCTACTCTTGCGGGATACTAGTAGGTTTGGGTAAATATTAGTCGCCATTATGTTGGGATATCACGTCTTTGGCTGTGAGGTATATAGATATTTTATAGTAAATATTTATGGGCCCCTGGAATATTTATCCCGCAAATAATTTTGGCGAACTCATGTGAGTCCCGGAAAAATAAGTACAAATGTTATGGTGATTTGCATGGGTATTTTTCTTGGTGGGAATAACATGTAGAACAAAAGTTCCAAACCATTGGTCATTTTTGTCCTGGTATTATTATAAATATAAGCCTAGTTCCTGGATAGCCGTCACCTATACAGTACCTCCCCTTGCACTAAAACGAGAGCAGATTCTGGATTACTAGAGTCATCTGCGGTGATATGCTGATGAAAGTCAGTAATTGTATCACTTTTTTTTGCACTTGCCTTTTCAACAGTAGAATTTGCCCGTGGATTCTACACTGTGTTCCTAGAGTCTGGACACATAGGCAAAAATGCAGATTTTCAAGAAATGAAATTTTCAACAACATTTTTTATTGAATCGAAATATTAACAGATAACATCTTCAATATGATTTCCATCATTTGTGATGCAACGTTTGATGCACTCTGCAAAAAGCACGTCAATTTTAGCATATTCACTCTTCATTCGTCCTATCAAGTGTGTTGCATCTGCGATCTTCACTGAATACACCTTCTTTAGAACGCACCAGCGAAACCATGTTTAATCTGTGGAAATAAAAAATATAATTAATAAGATTTTTGTTCATCAAAGTGATTCTAAAAAACAAAAAGTACAATGACATTTTATCCAATTCTTCAGATGTTCTCAAGAAATTAAAATCTAAAAGCGATCATTGAATATGCTGCTCTCGAAAGCCGTTGGTACAGATTTCAATATTCAATTCTCTAAATAGGTTTCCATTTTAAATAATATAAAGGAACAAAATAGATGTCCAGAAATAAAATGGCTCCCATTTAGAATAAATAAAGAAATAATCTCGTGGTGTAACAGATTAAAAATAGATTTCCTGAAAATAGATCCGACTCCTTAGCATAAAATCTTCCTCTTATTTGTTTTAAGTGGCCCCGCCCGGTCAAGGTTGACAATGATTGTAATAACTATTTACTGATGCTTGGGCAGACAAGGTATGCATGATATGTGTCTGAAAATATAAACAAAAATGTATATTTTCAAGAAATTAAATTTTCAACATTTTATTGATTTGGAATATTAAAAAATATCATCTACAATATAATTTCCATGATTTGTGATGCAAAGGTTGATGCGCTTTGCAAGATTCACGTGAACTCGATGGAATAATTCCACATTGCCGTCAATTTTAGTACATTCCCTCTTTATGCGTTCAATCAAGTGTGTTGCATCTGTGATCTTCATTGAGTACACCTCCTTTTGCATACTCCAGAAAAAGAAGTCAATTCTTTCTTCTTTCAACAAAACCGTATTTAATCTGTGGAGGTAAAACAAAATATAATTAATAAGATTTCCTGTGTGACCAGACTTCAGGGACACCCTTTAGTGCTGAAAAGGCCGGTAGAAAAAAAAACGAATCCATTTTCTCATTATCATTTAAAATTAGAAAACATCCCTCTTTTGAAGAAATGATCTTCAAAGTTTCTATGTAGTTTAGGCTATTTTTTTAAAAAAAACTTTGTTTTATTTTTAAGCTCAGTTTCAGACTTTCCAATACAATTCAGTATCATGTCTATACAATTTGGCACAATCGATTTTCTGCTTGTTGGTCGATGCAGGAAAATTCATCTACTGAATTGGAAGCGGCTAAAAATAATCCGTTTAGATGTAGTATTTTTTTTTTATTTTGTCCATATTTTTATTCATTTTTAATTAATTTTTATGAACAGACACTCCAGACATATTTTCAGTTGTATATCTCACTTGACAAAAATGTCTTTCGGAATAGACTAATACGTTTGCTATTCATTGAATTCGGCTATCTCTCACCCACTTCAGACCCCCTTCCGACAAACATATATATATATATATATATATATATATAAAAGTTTCGAAATATTATTTACATTAATCGGAAGTATTAGGTCATTTGCTGAAGTTCCACGTCATCGTCTTCTGCGAAAGAAGTTCGTCATTTCTCTCTGCTAATGAGTCAATGAAACAAGACATGAATTACCGTATGTTGTTTTGTTTTCTCGGTACAACAATTAGTCATGGTGGGTACAAGATATTAGATATATTTTCACATAATCTACCTTCCTTCAGTACTTCGATGGGTGACCAATTGGGAACACCAGGTGCTAAAAGCTTGGATGTGCAGGTGGTGCAATGGATACCATTTCCCCATCCTTCTCTCTCTCTGTTTCTTTCGCCTCCTCTCTGTCTCCCCATCCTCCTTTCTCTCTCCCCCTCTCTCTCTCTGTCTCCCTCCTCCTCCTTCCTCTTCTCACTCTCTCCCATCCTTCTCCTTCTCTCTCTTTCTGGCACTCCTCCTTTTGTCTTTCTCTCTATCTCTCTGGCACCCCCTCCTTTTGTCTTTCTCTCTATCTCTCTGGCACCCCCTCCTTTTGTCTTTCTCTCTGTTTCCTCTCCTTCTCTTCCCAGGTTTGGGTCAATTAGTAGGACTAGTATCAGTAAAATCGTTATTATCTCAAAAAAATTCTCACAATTCTTACAGTTAAGCAACGTTGAGCCTAGATGGGTGACCGCTTGAGAACACCTGGTGCCGTAAGCTTGGATGTGTGGGTGGTGCAATGGTTAACATTTTTCTTCCTGCTCTCTCTTTTTCCCATACTTCTATCTCTGTTTCTCCCTCATCTTTCTCTGTCTCCCCTCTTTCTCTTTCTCCCCTCTCTTTCTCTTTCTGTCTCCCCTCTTTCTCTCTATCTCCCTCTTCCCTCTTTTCTCTCTGTCTTCCCCCCTTCTCTCCCCAGCTTTGTATGACTTGTATCAGTAAAATTATTATTATCAAAAACAAATTCTTACAGTTAAGCAACGTTGAACCTGGTCAGTACCTAGATGGGTGACCGCTTCGGAGTACCAAGTGCTGTAAGCTTGGATGTGCAGGTGGTGCAATGGACAACATTTCCCATTCTTCTTTCGCTCACCTCATTCTTTCTCTTTCCCCCTCACCCTCTCTTCCTTCCATTCTCTCTCTCTCTCCTCTCCTTCTTTCTCTCTCCCCTCTTTCTCTCCCTATGGTTTAATTAGTAGTATTTTTATCAGTAAAATCATTATCTCAAAAAAAATCTTACAATCTAAAACTATTTTCTGACTTTAAAATAATCTGCAAAGGGTTGATAAACCGTAAAAAACAAATCAATTAATCAAAACAAGTATGTGAAAGGTACTGGAAATTCAATATTCGATGTTACACAACAACAAAATAACTTTTGTTTAAATGCCACAACCGCGAAGTATAAACGTTAAAGTGAATTCCCAAAACAACCTCAATTTCAACTCATTTATCCAAGAAATTAGTGAATGCTAAAAGTAACTCCGAAAAGCATGCTTCTTTTAAAATTATCTGATAGATAATTTAAATTCTCTAAACAAATTCTATTTTTTTCTTTTTCTTCTATTTGACTTCTTACTGACTTGTATATAATTATAGTGTCGCTGTTTTTCTTCTTTGATATGCCATGTCTCTTCAAGATGTCGGTAAATATGACTCTCCACAACTTCCTGTATTTTGTTGCTCTAAGTAACTTTTACTCTTTTACCGTCATTATTTGTCCTTGTTCTGCTATTTAAACTCGTTAAGTATTTGATTTGTTGTTTGGTATTGCTACTTTAGCTTTCAGGTTATTCACTGAGTGTTAAATTCACACAGCCTTCTTTCTTCGTTACGCGTCCTAAAACTTTCACCTGTTTTTTTTTCTCTTTGTTAGCCTACTTGTTTATATTTTCTTTAAAACATGCTTATTACTCGCATGTTCTGACCAGGGTATTCTGATAATAGATGTAATCCTAACTTACTTCCACGTGTTCATACATTTACGGCTAGCGACACTCCACTCTACTTCCACAGAGTCGAATCACCCTCATTAACCAGTTACGATGTGTGGATTCTCTCTCTTGGAGGCTCGTGCCTTGAGCAACTACTGAGACTCAAACTCAACCTTGACCTCAAACGGAACCCACACATACCATTGCTAAAAATGCAGGAAAAATGGTCAGTTCCCTGCAAGGCTCTAGGAATTACCTGACTCCTCGTGCTCTTGCTTATCGTTACAAGAGCGAGATCATTCCTAAAATAGAGTACTGCTGTCATATTTGGGCAAGAGCTGCCCAGTTCTCATTTTGCAATCTCGATAGAGTGCCAAAGCGTCTCCGAGTCCTTGTCGATGACAAATTATTTTCCATTCTACAACCTCTCTCTCACAGATGAAATTTCGCGAGCCTTTCACTGTTCTGTCGCTAGTGCTGCTCAGACGAACTACATTGCTTGGTTCCGCCAAGTCTAACTTTCACGGCTAGAACCCGCTATGCCACGCACATTGTGACGAACCACCTTCATACCCTCCATATTCCATTGCGAACTTCTTGTGAACTATTGCTCTGTGGAACCGACTGCCAAGAGGATGTTTCCCCGATCACTACAATTTTAACCTAGTCTAATCAAGTCTAGGGTCAGCCGTTTTCTTCGCTACATATTTCTTTAAATAGTGCCTATTACTCTATAACTCTCTATCCCGAGGAGCTCGTGGGCCTTCTACAGTGTGAACCTCACTGTTAAAAAAAAGAAAAAAAATTCAGCTCTATTCCAAATGTAAATCTATTGGAACCTCGGTTCACGAATTTAATACGTAAACAGAAACTATTTTTTCAATAGGAATCAACGTAAAATAAATTAATCAGTTCCTGATCCCAAGATGACTGCTTATTTAAACTTTTATACCAGTACTTTGTGTACAAGTTTATAGACAAAACTAATGAAAATAATTAAATCTAAGAAAGAAAATAAAACTTAATAGTAAACAGATAAAATATAGACGAACACTTTCATTAAACCGTGCCTATATGTAGGAGGGTTGATGGCGTAAGTGGAAGGGGAAGGAAAGAGATGTTATTGTTTGGAAAATGGGGAAACTGGCCGTCTCTTTATTTATAAGAATAGTATAGATCCTTGATTTTGCCATATGAAACTGAGTAGGAAGAAACAATTTCAACAATTGTTTTTCTCTTAACTTTTCTTTTTCCTTTACCAGTATCACTGTTAGCTTTCTTTGGAGCCATGACTGAGGACTAATAAAGAGAAGAAAAAAAGGCACAGTACAATAAAATTGGAAAAGAAAAGCATAGCACGAATGTATTCAACATGGCGGTCGACTCAGAAATAAGACCGTTCGGGTTAACTCGGTTCGGTTCGATGTTTGTTCGAGAACCGAAATTTTGTTCGATAACCGAGGTGTTTTCTTCTGGAATTTTCTGTTCAAAAACCGATTTGTTCGACATGACAGACGTTAGAGAACCGAGGTTGCACTGTAGCTAGTTTTACTCAGTTTTTCTAAAGAACTGCTGATTTATGGAATAGTCTCTCGTGTCCCTCATTACAAATTAAGCGTCACCTTTTCGCCTTACCATCGTAATCTCTATTTCTTGACACCTTCTCTTACATTCATATCACACGCCACATTCGGAATTACCATTTAGCGTGTAACCTTCTGCCTTGTGTGGCGTGCTGTATGAACTTTAATATCGCAAATATTTCAGAAATGAAAGAATACCATTCAGTATATCGCTATCAGATTTCACGTATTACTTATGGGATGTACCTGGCAGATTGATAAAGAACGAAGATTATTTGCCGCCAGCATGTGTGTGTATGTGAGGGTTGGGGGGGGGTAAGCTATTTACATGGTTATTTTAGTCTAAATCATGTAAATAGGATTTCTATTTATACCGAACAAATCAGATTAGAGTTGTACGCTGGTTTAATGAGTAAGAAAATATGAAGACAAACATTCTGACTAGTAGGAAGTTTCTAGTAATATTTAGAAAATCTTTCAACCTTGTAGCCTCGAAGCAACATTGGCCTTGACTTTTGCATAATCTCTAACCAGTGTCTTCAACTTGTAAAACACACACATATATATATATATATATATATATATATATATATATATATAAATATCAAATATTTAAAATTAAAATGATATTACAATGAATCATTCATACAAAAAGTAGATTAGTAAAGTTAATGATATAAAATGGCGAAATGCCTTCGCAAACAAAATTTTAAAGGTGCATTAAACTACAAATCACTCGATGAATGCTATGATCCTTGTTTTTTAAAAATTATAAGCTGTATAATGTCTTTCTTTAATATGCAAGTACTTTCAACTGTACATTCAGTCATCTTCAGGCATGGAAATTATTTTGTTTTTTCGTCTCGGATGCTACCTGAGGTGGCATCCGAGACGAAAAAATTAAATGTGAATCGAAATGTTTTCTTTAAAATGTTTTATTGTTAAAAGATACAAAATTTTGTTTGCTAAGAGATTTCACCATTTCATATCATTAACTTTACTAATCTACCTTTTGTATGAATGATTCATTGTAAAATATATATATATGGTGCGTGGCCTAGTGGTTAGAACGTTCGCATTTTGACCATGAGGTCAAATCTCATGGTTGGTTTGTCAGGAAGTAGGCTTACTGATGTTATCGGCCTGGAGGGGAGGGGCGATCGCAGTGTGCGACACCCTTTGGAAAGTGCTTGAAAACCATACCTTGTGATTGAAATTCGACAGTTGTGCTAGCACGAAGTCACAGGTCATCGTGACCGAGGGTTTGAGTGTGCTGGCGTTGTTCAGATTGTTGATCACGCTAGAAACTGTAACTAAGGTCTGCTCAGCACAGTTGCAGTATAAACCACAGGTTGACCCTGTTGAACAAACACAAATGTGGCTGAGCGAGCGTCTGCAATAGGGATTGACTAGACGCCCTAATAGACGGGTATCCTATACCTAGAAAAATCAGGAATTGAACATTCCAACTAAAGGACGTTCTGAACAACGCATATGGTTCCTCCATCACAGAGCATCTTATTAATTTTTTCAAATTTTAATAACCACTTTTAGCATGGAATCGTTTACTATCTTGAGTCGTGTTCGCTCCATATTGCAAATTAAGGTGTTGGAAAAACATTACGTTCGGTCCAGACAGTCCTCCCTGTAAACAGAGGGCGTGTCTGTTAGGATTTCAATTTAGTTTGTATTCCGCCTTCATTGATATTACATATTGTTTTTATGTTATATTTTCTTACAATATATAATCCCTCGATACTCCTCTGTTGAGTGAGGGCGAAACCGGTCGGCTGTGTTTGTTTTATTTTGCACTTTCCTTTTTAATCATAAAAAGTAAAATATGTCTAACCTTTTTGCTAAAAAAATTTTATAAAATTCTATATTAAAAGCAAAAAAATTTTATATATATATATATATATATAACCGAATGAGTAGGTATACGAACGAGCGATCGTATATAAATTCTCTATAGTGTAAGAAAAAATCAGTGGTCAATGTTAAATAATATAGCTATTTAATATATATATATATATATATATATATATGACGTATGGGTCAAGCAGATCATTTCTAGAAACCGACAGCCCGACAACAACAAACATGAGATTTGATTATAGTGGTGAAAGTTTATGTGCAGGACCATCCACACTTTTTGAAGGGCCGAATTCAGAGACCTGGTGCACTACGTGCCACAAGGTCCCCAAACGACTCTCCGCAGGTTTTGAATTCAGAGTTGTCCTTCTCCTAGACCAATTGCCATCCAAAGCTATAGAACCCAGTCTATCCTCTATTTACCCATAGCTGGAGGGAAAAATAAGATAGCTATATATATATATATATATATATATATATATATATAAAAAAAGGCATAAGCACTAATATTCCATGGTCATAATTTATTCCATTGGAATCGTAAATACGATCCAAATCATCAGACCTACAAATTCAAAATGAAAACAGAAAAAAAAACAACTCAGGAAATCAAAACAGAATTTAGAGAAAGTGTAAGAAATGAGGAGGAGGGACATGAAACCTTAAAAGAGAGAATTTTAGGAGATGTGGGTGGAAGGGAATTTAAAAAGAGAGAGAAAGAAAGTCGACGGATGTCTAATGCATAAAGATACATTTCGTGGTGACATATACACACCATAGACAATTAGGATAGGATTTAAAAAAAAAAAAAAAATATTGGGGGAGAGAGATGGGACGAAGGAAAATAAAATTGTTTTTTACTTATATATATATATATATGTCAAGAAATATACATAATACCTTACATTAATTGCACAACTTCATGGGATTATTATTTTTAATTTAGGTTGACACCGTTATTTTTTTTTTAAATATTTTATTCATTTAAAATATTTTAACAACAATAATATTTCACCCAAACAATAAAGTAATTTTGAAACCTGTTTTTTTAAAAAAAAATGTATCAAAAGAAAATAAAAAATATCAAATTTTAAAACAAAAAGCCAATGGCTTCGGCATGAAAGTAGGAATTGTGCTTAAACTTTCCAATTAGTACTAAATCACTCCATTGAATGATCTGCATATAACTTCATCTATGGTTTCTGTCATCATCTCGAAACTAGATCCCAACAAAGCATGTGAACTTGATAGCACCCCTACAATACTCCTTAGGAACTATGCTTCTGAACTGGCTCTAATTCTCTCTAAACCCTACCCTACAATAAATGCCTTGTTGCTTCATGCTTTTCTGCTTGTTGAAAATCCTTTTCTGTAGTTACAGTCTTTAAGAACTCGGGCAAAACATCTGATCCTTCTATTGACCTTCTTAGCCGTCTATATATTTTGGCAATGTACTATTATTTTTAAAGTGTGTGCCAAATCTCTGATAAAATAATAATTGTATTATTTATTTTATGTTGATAATTTGTTTTGGTTGTATGTGAGATGATGATAGATATCAGTTCCGGTGATTACTACCCCCTCCTCCACGAACACCCCGACTCGGGGATCGCGCCTGTTTGAGGGCCCGGGCAGTGATTTGTTACCCTCGCTATCTTATCAACATTTTTCTATCTACATTTATATACATTACAAATTAAACAAAGCATAACTGATTATTAAAGGATGAAAAGTTTTCGCGGATTGTGACGTCATACTGGGGTCTTTTTTTTTTTTTTTTTTTTTCCAAATTCATGAATTTGTTTTCTTGAAAAAAAATGATATAAAATAAAAAATTTTTATATATAAAATTGAATATATTTTATTTAAATGTTGAATAAAAAAAACTCAAGTTGATGTAAAAATTGTAGCAAAACATTGTTGATTTATTTAAGATAGAATAATCTATTATGACATGACTCTAATTTATATTTAGATACATTGTATTTAGTTTCAGTTTTTCTAGTTGAATTGTTCAGCTATATTGCATATGATCCATTATTGTACATAATTAGGTTACAATAAAATTTGTATTTTATATGAAAACTACTTTATGAAAATTGAGATATAGTAAAGTTGGGATCCCGTATCATAGATTCGGGGACAGTTGCATTACTACAAAAGAGCCTAGAAAAATTGCCGTCCAGGATAACTTTCATTTCACGATTTGATAAAAAGATGTAAAAGTTCAAAATTTAACAGAGACTATTTTAACCCATCGGTTTTATGAAAAAGAACTGCATTTAAACCCTGTCGAAACTGCTTTCGAGATTAAAAAAGCAACAACTGAGCTTCACCATTCTTGTCTAGACTTTGATAGACTCTGTCTCTAATTTGTATTTAGATACATTGTATTTATTTTCAATTTTTCTAGTTGAATTGTTCACCTATATTACATATGATCCATTATTGTACATAATTAGGTTACAATAAAATTTGTATTTTATATAAATACTATCATATGAAAATTGAGATATAGTAGAGTAGGGGGAGGGGCTATCATGGGATATCTAGCACGTTTGATAGATTCGGAGGAGGGGATGCACGAGACCTTTGCACCGACTCTGATCATGACGAAACGGCATGTCCACGAATTGCAATACGTTTCGACAAGTGACAAGTCAGTTTCCGAGCAAAATAGAAAATGGAAAAATACAAAAAAAAAAAAAAAATAAGACAAACCGTGTCGGTTTAATTTAACAAAACTTGTTTTGATGATTTTTTTCTGCCTTTTAGGCCGATGGGAGAAATTCAAAAATACATAATAATAATAGTAATAATAATAATATTTATTGTATATTTTTAGGTCATTAGAGGAAACAGAAAAGCATGAAAAAAACTGTTAAAAATCGGAATTTTCGGACACGCCTGTGATATAAAATTTGTTTAGCGCATGCGTAAATTTATTTATTTTAATAACATGCAATAAATATTATCACTCTGTCTTTTTAACTTTCTCTCAAAAGCCTACTATACCTAGAATCTGTAAAAAGCATACGTGAGCAGTCTTTCTCCAATGGTCGACTACTCCCTGTCACAAATCGACCATGGTGAGATTCGAACTCGGGTTTCATGGTCGAAATGCGAACCTTCTAAACCCACGGCCCCATTTTATATATATATATATATATATATATATATATATATATATATATATTTATATATATATATTTAAAAAATTTTGTGTATATTAATTTAGCAGATCATTATTCGAACATAAATTGTTAAATATAACAGACGACAAATTATCTTTGATCTTCAGCCGTTGTAAGCTTCGTATGAGTGTTTTAATCTCAGGATTTGTGAGTAGCTGCTCTATTTCGAGTCCTCGGTGACAAAGAAAAAATTAAATCGTTTCTTCTTCGCCACCGAGGTCCGTTGGTACAGTTGGTATGACGCTTGAGTTGTATCGAAACGGTAGTCAATGCGCACTGCTGCTGAGTCCCAAAAATAGGACGAAACGGCCGTCCAGTGCTTTCTGCATTCTGTTGAGGATTCCTCTAGAATCGATGAATTACTATAATGATTTGCCTAAATCCTTTAAATTTATTACTTTATATATATATATATATATATATATATATATATATATATATATATATATATATATATATATATATAAGATACATCCATAAAACATTTATCGCTGCAATGAAAAAAGACAAAAAATGACATGTCTACGCATCAGTTTTCTGTACAAATAATCCACCTACCTCCACCTAAAAACTTTTATTTTTTTATATTTTAGCATAGATCTGACGTTTAATTGGTTAATCTAGACATACCCATAAGTACAGTGTAACCCGGATATAAGAGAAACCCGGATATAAGAGATTTTCTCTGGCCTCAAATTAGAGCCATACTTACCTAAACAAAATAGACCAAACCCGGATATAAGAGACTTCTTCTCCGGTCCCGATAACTCTCTTATATCCGGGTTACACTGTATATTTTTTTTAATTCTGACCTCATGCCCCCACCCCGCTTTAACTTCCGAAAAGAGGTAACGATTTGTTTTTAAATTTCCCTAATAAATTATTTTTATCACAAGTTATCTACCATCGCCTGAGGAAGTAGTACTGAAACATGAAAGTTTTTGTGTAGCGATGTAAAATTTAATTTATTATCATAAAAATGTGATATATATGGTGTTTCACAATTTTCGAAGCAAAAGGATCAGGCACAAATCAATGTAAACAAATGAGAGAGTAATGGAAATTAGATTTATTGGAAGGTAAAAGAATAACATTTTGGGATTTCCATCTATTTAGTCTCGAAGATGAACGAAAAATGTCAAGAGGTGTCCTAAAGTACATGGTCAAGATGTCCGCTGTTGAGTTGAAAGTATTGTTGAATGAAAAGTTGCGGATAACGCGTACACATTCCTTGAATCTTCTCAGGGGAGGGAAGTACCCATTTCAAAACTTTTCCCGGAGCCAGTTTTCTAAGTGAAAAAACGCCAGTCTATATACAAAATCGGATTTTCTACCCCGAGTTTTACCTGGACTCGAACACCAGTCACTCGTACTAGAGGTAAATTTGCAAATATATCAGCCAATAGTCGGGCCAAACATTAATTCTCCCTCTCTTGTTCTCATTCTCTTTCTTTCTTTCTTTCTCTTGTCACTTTCCGCTCTCTCTTTCTCTCTCTCGTCTCTTTTTTTTCTAATCTCTCTCTATGCCCTTTTCTCTCCTACTCTCTCTCTCTCTCTATGTCCTTTTTTCTCCTACTCTCTCTCTCTATGTCCTTTTTTCTCCTACTCTCTCTCTCTATGTCCTTTTTTCTCCTACTCTCTCTCTCTATGTCCTTTTTTCTCCTACTCTCTCTCTATGCCCTTTTCTCCTTTCTCTCTTTAGTAAGGCCCTTTTTTTTCTCTCTCTCTCTAGTCTTTTTTTTGTCTCTCTCTCTAGTCTTTTTTCTCCTACTCTCTCTCTAGTCTCTTTTTTCTCCTCTCTCTTTTTGTCTCTCTCTCTCTCTATCTAGTCTCTTTTTTTCTCTGTCTAGTCTCTTTATTCTCTTTCTCTCTGAAGTCTCTTTATTTCTCTCTCTCTCTCTCTCTCTCTCTGAAGTCTCTTTATTTCTCTCACTCTCCGAAGTTTCTTTATTCCCCTAAGTCTCTTTATTCTCTCCCTCTCCCAAGTCTCTTTCTATCTTTAATCTCTAATCTCTTTCTCTCTCTCTTTCCCAAGTCTCTTTCTTTCTTTCTTTCTCTCTCTCTCTCTTCGAACACTTTTTTTTCTTTCAAGTTTCTTTTTTTTTCTCTTCCTCTCTCTCTCTCTCTCTCTCTCTATCTTTTTTTCTTTTCTCTCTAAAATATTCGTAATATGGAAGAATCCTTTTGGGCAATTAATCAATTTTATGCGTATTCATTGTGAAAGGTCGTGCTGACATTCGATCTTTATTGGATACAGTTGTGCTTTGTGCCGTCTTTTATTAAATTATTATTATTATTATTATTATTATTATTGCTGTTGTTGTTGAATATCATTAAGAGCAATAAAAGGAAGAAAATTGCAACTTTCATTAGAGATGAACGAAACAAACTGTTTCAAAAGGATTATAAAAATAAGCACGACAGAATAGGAACGGTCATACATTAAGAACTGTGCAAACGATTTGAGTTCGACCTTGCAAATAAATAATATCACTACAAACCAAAAGCTATCGTAGAAAATAAGAGAAAAACAGTCTACTTTGCGGATCATCAGATCTTGGCGAGAAAACCGCGACAAGACCAGTAGATAAGAAATAAAATGGATCAGTTGTACATAGCTGCGTCAGTGGACGACAGGATATAAACAAAGGAAAATGTAATCGATTTAGAAATTTGGGTGTCCCGAAAAAACAATTCATTTTTAGACACCAGTACTCCAAAAGAAATACCTGATATTCCTGCGACACACAATGAGGAAAGAGGGCTGGAGAATTTGATAATATTATAATTATGGATATACAAGAAGAGGGTAAAAAAAAACACAGAAGAAAAAGAATAAAAACATGAAATCTTTTTATTTTCAGGACCTCAATCATTCAGCAGAAAATACAATTAGAAAACATGGTTAGAATTGAAATCTGAAGATGGTAAATCTAGAGAATAGACAGCATATGAAAGAATTATCAGAATTCATTTATTCTTCTATATATATTTATAATATATATTTTGATATATATCATGCATATAAATCACATTGTCGACTCCCTAGCCCATAGAAGGTATTATGAATTCCAATACGCCATTCCAACATGCCAATTGCTCATTGTAGCGGTTTGTTTAAATTCCTGTAGTTTATTATAAAAAAAAATTCCCTTCCTATTCCACCAAATACAGAATATTTCTTTTCCTCCAGTAGATGCCATTTAAGCTGCGATGGTAAAGGTTGTCTTGGACCTCGTTACAATTTAGATTTAGTTTGTAATGAATTTGATGAAAATTCATTTTTCAGCACCAGTACTCAGAAAAACATTTGCTGATATTTCTGAGACATAAAAATTTTATTTAGAGTTCTTTAAAATAATAATGCAAGAAAAGAACAGTGTTTTCATATTTTTGTGGGTTTATATACTTTGAACCCCTGCCCCTAGATATGGGTTAAATAGTAAAGTTTGCCTGTCAATCAGTCCAGAGAAACCCTGAATTTAGAACAGTAAAGAAAAATCACATTTTTTTTTTTTTTTACTTTGAATCAGAATTTCAGACATTTTGAAATTTTCGTTAAAAAGAGTTTGGAGAATCAGACATCAGAACAGGACATAGTTTAAAAAGAAAACAACGTTTAATGAGTTTTTGTTTTGTAAATGGATGACAGAAAATTTCAAAATGGAACTGCTTACAAGTTATAACGGATGGGATGTTGTGGAAAGCTATGATCAACCACGCCAAGTTATTTTGTTAAAATATACTTTTTGGTATCGACCACCAAAATTGAACAAATTTTTCTTCCTTTCTTTGTATATGACGAATCGGAGATTGAATTCGAAATAAAAGCAAAATCCATTACATTCACTTACGTTAAATCCTTTAATACCCTTAGGAAAATACGAATCCTCTTGTCTCCCCAGCTATGGGTAAAAGCAAAACATTTTTACAAACATTCTATAGCCTTGAATGGCTTTTGGTTACCGCAGAAAGAAACACAACTTTAAAATTTTTCTGCCTTGTCTGTACGTATCAAAAGATAATGATCGCTTATAGCGTGTATAACGTATGACAAAAAATGGTCTTCATCTTTTAATGTATGTAAACCATTACATGTTTTAAAAAACAAAAAAACAAACTAAAACAGTTTAAAAATTAAAAAAGAAATGGTGTCGGGAAAAATTTTAAACGAAAAATTATTTTTTAACCGAGAAGTTAAAATGGATGTTTTGAGTATTTTGTGTTTGTGCTGGCTGATCTAATATCAGGAAAAGGCAATTTTTTTTTTTCTTTTTTTTTTTTTTTTTTGTCGAACGCATGAATGCACCAGCAGATATTAATTTCCTGTCGTCTGCTTCTCTTCCATTTTCTTTCTTCATGCAGACATTCCGTGGCCATCTTTAGTTCTCATGGATTTGTATTCGTCTGATTGCCTCTGAAAAAGAAAACGTTTACATAATGAAATTGTTGTTGTCTATTTAAATTCTTTTAGTTCTTCATGAGACACAGAAACACACACACACACACAAACACAAAAACACTTCTTCGAAAGAACCACCACTACCACCAAGCGTTGTGCGTTTGTTTATTTTTGAAAATATAGTGTTCATTGATTTTATTTAAAAAAATAAAGCGTTAAGAAATCATCTGATACAAATCCCCTGAGGATAAATTAAAAAAATTTGAAACCAAGTTAGCGGATTCAACTGACCTCCTGATATTTTTTAAAGTTAAAAGCTCTACATGTTATTTTTACTTTCATTTTTTTTTCAGTTGTGTATTTGCACTTAAAAATTTTACTGTTTCCTGGTTTGATTCAAAAATGACAAATTTCGTCTTTATGTCTTTTTATATATATATATATATATATACATAAAACTCTGAGTAGTTGATTTTGGTATTGATATTACTATATTTTCACTCTGTCGACTTTTACATCGAGCCTACAGTTTACGACTTTGGAAGAAATAGCAAAAGTACAAAAGAACATAGAAATTGTGGAGAGCCAAATTGTGGCAAACAGAAGAATAAGTATTATTAGGAAGGTTCACTTTTAATATTCTTCCTTTTGGAATGAGTTGTGACAATCACCATGCTTGGAGTACATTTAGAAACAAGTTCAAAATCGGGATATTTTGGTTTATTGATTTTTTCACTGAGGATGGAAGAACCTAATTAGCATTTTTAGCTTCTTCTTTTCTGATATTTTAAGTCAGGCAAAAATAGGGGTGCTTATCAGCCTAGAATCTGGAATAGGCGAACCGAGATCAAATTACGCCCTCGTCTGGTTTCAGCCAATTTAAGACATTAATCATTTTCTTCTTCCTAATTTTTTACTTGGTAAGTAGGTAAAGCTGTGATTTTAAACCTATATGGCAATTGGTTAGGAGCAATGCATACTGTGAATTCAAAACCGTAATTATTTATTGCATCAACAAACTTCCAAAAATATAAAAAAATACAGCATCAAAAATATTTGTAGATGTATATATATATATATATATATATATATATATATATATATATATATATATATTTCATGCAATGATGAATTAAGATTCAACATTATGTAAATATTAATTTTCACCTTATTAAAATTAAATTTAAATAAATTTTTCAACAATCTTTGGATGGTGATCTCATCCATTGATAGTTGAAAAAATATTGTTATTCTGTTTATTATAAAAACATTTCAAAATTAAACTAATCACTTTTAATATTTAATATTTTATATTGTGTTAATAAATAGGATTCACTGAGATTATATACCAACGGATTACTACCTGAAATAAATAATATATATATATATATATATATATATATATATATATATATATATATATATATATTTCTATAATTAATTAATTTTTTTTAATTTAAAAATTATTACTTCAAACATCATTAAAATTTGGATTCTCAGTATTTGAAATAAGGCGCCGTGTAATAAGAATCCTCTCCTTTAATTTATTCAACTCAAATTTCATTTTAACGTCTTTTTGTAAACTATAAAAAGTGGTGAAGGTGTTATTTATATATATATATATATTATATATATATATATATATATATATATATTCAAAATTTATTATATTCAACACACCATATTTGAAATAGACGTTCCGTTATTTTTTATTTAAACAGTGTAATATTTTTATATATATCAATTGCAACACTATAATAACATTTAAATTAAAAAATTTCGGATTAAAAATAAATTTATATATATAATATACAAATTTTTATTTTATTGTATTTCCAACTAATGAATAAACATACATTTCATATAATTAACTGTACACAGATGCATAATATCTAAATGTGCATAGAAAAACAGAAAAATTTGATTTAATAGAAATAAATCCCATTTATCCATTTTAATGGGTGAAAAAAGTATTCGTACAATAAAAAAAGAATACATAATCTTCATTTAATACTTTGTAGAATAGCCATTATTCACTTCTACAGCAACCAACCTCTTCTTGTAGTTCTCAATTAATGATTTGCAAATTTTAGTTGGTATTTTGTTCCATTCTTCTTCGCATATGGTCTTCAGATCCGGGATGTTTGTTGGAGCTCTCGATTGGATTTGAATTTTCAAATAACGCCACAGATTCTCGATTGGGTTTAAATCTGGGGACTGACTTGGCCATTTCAGGATATTTACATTATTTTTAGCAAGCCATTTCTTCGTAGATTTTGCAGTGTGCTTAGGATCATTATCTTGTTGGAAGATCCAATCAGGAGGAAGTTCAAGATTTTCAACCGAAATCATTAAATTTGCTTCAAAAATATTTTGATATGCTGCGGCATTCATTCTACCATCTATTACTGATATGTTGCCAGTACCTTTTGCAGAAAAACATCCCCAATCCATGATGCTGCCACCACCAAATTTCACTGTTGGAACTGTGTTCTTTTGTTTGAAGGCATCGCCATCTTTCCTCCATACATGATTTCTAGAATTACGTCCAAACAACTCAGTTTTGGTTTCGTCTGTCCATAATACTCTTTCCTAATACAATTTTTCCTTATCCATATATTCATGAACAAATTTCAACCTGGCATCTCTGTGTCATCAATAGCAGTGGAGTTTTCCAAGGGGAGTGTGACTTTAGATTGTTCCTATGAATTTCATTCCTGATTGTCTGTTTAGTGTCACAGATTCCTGATGAAAGC